CGACCATTGCCGGCAGGTATTGATCAGCCGCACATGACTGATCAGGCCCTCCAAGACCGACTCCCCGCGTGCGCCGTGCGCGCTTCCTCCTACCGGGCTGGCCTGCCCGTCCCCGAGGCCGAGCGGGGAGCGGAGCAGCGGCCAGAGCAGCGGCAGGGCGGACGCTTGCGAGGCGGCCGGCGGCGAGCAAGCAGGCGGCGGCGACGGCGGAGGCGACGGGGGAGGCGGAGGAGGCGGCGGCGAGCAAGCAGGCGGCGGCGACGGTGGCGGCGGAGGCGGAGGCGGAGGAGGCGGCGGCGACGGAGGCGGCGGTGGAGGCGGCGATGGTGGTGGTGGAGGCGGAGGAGGCGGCGGCGGCGGCGGCGGAGGCGGAGGCGAGCAGGTAGCGGGGGGCGGAGGTGGAGGCGGAGGCGGCGGAGGTGGAGGCGGAGGCGGCGGCGGTGCGCAGAGCCATGGCCATCCGCTTGTTGCTCACTGCGGCGCAGTCTCCCGCTGGTACCGCTTCTCGCCCGACAAAGCGAATTAACAATGGTAGGTACTCATTAGTGATCAATAATACTAGGTACCGCTTCTCGCCCGACAAAGCGCCGCTGCACACGGGCGCACTGCTGCGGCTGCTGCTGCTGCCGTGCAAGGGCGACCTGCGCCCAGGAGATGTCTGCTTGATTAATCATCAGTTGAGTCGGAATGACATGCGAATTAAGGCGACCCGCGCCACGAGCTGTGTGCGCTGACAGAGACGCCCGAGGGCGAGATCTAGCCGAGATCAAGCCGAGATCCCGCCGAGATCCCGCCGAGATCCAGTCGAGACCTAGCCGCATCTGGCGGAGCTCGATTGGACTGCGGCGACGGTGTCCAAACGCATGACTCATCAGCGAGGCTTCCTTCTCTCACTCTCAACAGCGACAATTCACCACCGTCCTTCTCGCCCGCTCACCAGGCGAGCTGTCGCTCGTGTGCGGCGAGGCGGGGTGGTTCAGCGCGCGGTGCCATCATTGACACCAATCCATTCTTGAGAACTGACCACTCAAACAGCAGGCGGAGTGGTTCAGCGCGTGGTGTGCGGCGACGCCGAGCGGCATCCAGGCGCCGCAGATGGCTCGAGATTGCCCGAGATTGCCCGAGATCACCCGAGCGGCATCCAGGCGCCGCAGATGGCCGACGGGGGTGTGTGGCTGCCCGATCACTGCTGTCACTCCTTGAGTGTGGACGGTGAGTGTGGGCTAGGCTGCCGACGGCGACGGGTGGGTGCCGATCAAGGTTGGCGGCGACGGACTCGGAGGCTGATGAGGGAGGGTAGTTCGTGAGTCACTCAGCCTCTTCATGCGGCTGGTTAAAGGTTGGCGACGACTCGACGCCGCTCAGCGAAGTGGGTGTCATCGCAGCGCAGGCCTGAGACCGCCGAGAGACCGCCGAGAGACCGCCGAGAGACCGCCGAGATATAGCTGAGGTGTGCCGAGGTGTGGCTGAGATGCAGCCCAGGTGCAGCTTGGATGTGGCGGGGGTGTAGCAGAGATGCGCGAGGCGGTTTGAACTGGTATCATCGCTGCGCAGGCGACCAGCTCTCGCCGCTCGCTCGCCTGAGATCTATGACTATGCGTGTACAAGTGATGCTAATGCAGGCGACCGTCCTCTCGCCGCTCTCCATCCCCCTCCTCTACCACTCCACTTTCGGCGTCGACTCCACCTTCGTGCCGCTCGCGAAGGATGGAGCCTATTGCCACTAAGCGAGCAGTTCATTAACAGGCTTCGACTTCACTTTCGTGCCGCTCGAGAACGTCGGCGCCGCCATCGCCGCCTTCGACGCAGCCGGCTACGCCGTCCGGCGGGAGGTCCGAGATTGCCCGAGATACCCCGAGATGCCCAAGATGACCCGAGACTATCCGAGGTTGCCCGAGATTGCCCGAGACTGCCAGAGATGACCCCGTCCGCCCCCGTCGGACGGAGTGTGAACGGCGTCTCTTCACACGCGTCAGCTATGAATAGGACTCGCCGCCGCCCGACCAGGACACGGATTGGCCGAGCGGCTGAGACGGCCTCTCCTCGCACCGGCAAATTGACCCCTCAACTAACTAACACACACACACACACACACACGCACGCACGCACGCACGCACACACACACACACGCACGCACGCACGCACGCACACACACGCGCGCATTCGACTTTCAAGTCGCTCAGTTATCATCATCTCGCAATGATCTCGCAGCTCAGGCGAGCGCCTCACCGTCGGCCATTAAGAGAGGGATAGGAGATTGCTGATCGTGTGTCTCCGGTGGGAGGGATGGGAAAAGCAACGATATATCTTTGCTTCCAAAACCCGGACGTGCCTCCACCGGCACCCTTCCCGCTTCACCGCGCACCGCGGCACACGCGCGCCGGCCGCCGCAGGTCGTCATGTGCAAAACACGGGCCCTGACGAGAGGCCCTGAGTCACGGCCTGAGTCTGTGTGAGGTAAGGTAAGGTAAATTTCTCCACCGACACACAAAGTGGTGGGGCAAGGGGGGGCGACCCTCGCATCTCCACACCCGGGGACACGGGCAGGAGCATGACGATCGGCCGTCGATCCCGAAGGGTCGTCGGTTGAGCTAGGGAGCCTGGCGATGGACGCCACCGCGACCCCTCGTGGCATCTCTCTCGCCGTCGGCGAGCCGGGGGCTCGCAGACGGCCGACTTTCTATATAACCAGTAGGACAGCCGTGAGTGTGAATCGGATAAGGAGTTTGCGTCCGTCCACCGTCTTCGTGGACGTCTGTCCTCGTGACACCCACACCCCACACGGCCTGTTTTGCTTCTGTCGTACCGGTATCAGCCTCTCGTTAGAGCATCCGGGACGATCTTGCCATATCCATACCGCACGTGCCGGCTGCGCTCAGGGCTGCAGCAGCGCCGCTCAGGGCCACGCCGTCGCCAGGAGAGGCGGGCGGCCCGACAGGCAGCGCTTCCGGCATGGTTCTGGCAGAGGTTTCGCCGTCCGGGGACGGCGGGGTGGCCGTGGGGACGGACGCGGACGCGGAGAAGATCGAGAAGTTGCTGCGATCGGAGCGGGGCGGGACGCGTCTGACAGCTGTCGGCATTGTCGACGAGAAGATTGGTGACGTCGCTTTTGAGCTGGCAGAAGACATCCCGTTCGCGGCGCTGGAGCAGCGCCTCCTCCACCCTGATGGGTGGGAGGCGCTGGCGGGGACGCTGCTCGGGGAGCCCAGCGCGCGGGCTGGCTACCTCATCAAGAGGGACCTCCTCAAGACCTGGTGGCAGGATGCGACACCTGAGCAGCCTCCCACCAAGGCGGGCGCACCGACGCGCTCGGCGGGCGCCTCAGTAGTGGCGAGCTCGCAGCCGGCCACGAAACCGGCGGCGATTCTGAGTGCCAAGTACGCCACCGAGCGAGAGAGAGAGAGAGAGAGAGAATTCTTGATACGAAACCACGACGACAGACACCAGTCGACTCGCATCGGTTGCCTCCATGAACGGCGGAGCTATTCTCGCGTCCACACCACACCTGGCTCCAACGTGGACACGCCCATAGCTGGGGACACTACTAGGTCACGCATGGCATCAGAAGTTTTATCTCTGGGCCCCGAAAGGCATCTCTAGCAGCGTCGTTACGCATGCGCCCTCCCCTCCTGGGCGCATACGCCTCACGTCTCGACAGAGCATAAGCCCTTGGCGTGTGACGAGACGAGTTCTTCGCCATCGCAGCGAGCAGCAAGCCACTCTCCGCAGCAGCCGGAGGCATCTCTCTCTCTCTCTCTCGCCACCGAGCTCGAGGGGCAGGGACTCGACGAGCCGGGTGCGCTCGCCCTTAGCATTACCCTAGAAATCGGAGGGGTAGTGTCGGCAGAGGAGGCGTTGGCACTGGACGGGGCAAAGTACGGCACGTCGCCTGGCCTGGTCAGCAAGGTACGGAAGATGCGGGAGGATGGAGCAAGCCTTTGCCAGGCCCTCAAAGGCGGACGCCGCGCAGTGCTCGAGCACTGCCGCCGTCTGGAGCAGGACTACATTGAACGGGGCATGCAGACAGAGGCCTTGATGGTGTAGTGGCTGAGGGGCTGTGGGGCAGGGCTCGAGATCATGTTCTACGATGGATGGCGATGGGGGTTGGTCCTGCAACGGTGTCTCGTGCGGAGCAGTGGTGTGCTGTCGCGCGAGGGTTGCAGGCGTGAGGGTCGAGGGTACCTTTTCCCCCCTTTGCTATTAACAATGCTTTGGAATCTATGAACATGACCTCGAGTGGAGCCCCAGTCCTCGACAGGCTCATGACGATCGGCCGTCGATCCCGAAGGGTCGTCGGTTGAGCTAGGGAGCCTGGCGATGGACGCCACCGCGACCCCTCGTGGCATCTCTCTCGCCGTCGGCGAGCCGGGGGCTCGCAGACGGCCGACTTTCTATATAACCAGTAGGACAGCCGTGAGTGTGAATCGGATAAGGAGTTTGCGTCCGTCCACCGTCTTCGTGGACGTCTGTCCTCGTGACACCCACACCCCACACGGCCTGTTTTGCTTCCCCACCCACCCTCCCTATTGTGTGCGCTGTCGCGTTTTGGGGTTGGTCCTGCAACGGTGTCTCGTGCGGAGCAGTGGTGTGCTGTCGCGCGAGGGTTGCAGGCGTGAGGGTCGAGGGTACCTTTTCCCCCCTTTGCTATTAACAATGCTTTGGAATCTATGAACATGACCTCGAGTGGAGCCCCAGTCCTCGACAGGCTCCCCACGGCATTCAAAGTGCAAGCATTGGCCCGGTGCACGTGGGTGAGCAGCCTGCCCCTCCCTCCCGACAAACCAACTCCCGCACACACACAATCGCACTCTGGCCATCGAATGACTCCGAATGACTCACTGTGTGTGCTAAGACAGAATAATCTCCGCAGACAGCCAAAACGGGCCGTGCCGCGTTTGTGGTGTCTTCTCAAGCATCAGCATCCGGGCGCCGCACTCGAGTGGGCGGGTCACATCTATGTGGGCCCAGTGCGCACTAGGCGCACATGCTAGTGCTATCCTGCCCTATGGGAGGCAGAGGGATGGGGGGAGGGGGGGGCAGAGGTAAGGTGGGGTGAGACTGGGGAGGACCTCAGAGGTCCTCCATGGGGAACAGGTCAAAGTTGACGCCGTTCCTGCCATCGCCGCCGACGCCGTCGCCCTTGTCCGCAAAGGTGGCTCCAGAAGAAATCTCTGTCACCTAGACCCACATACCACACGACCATCCTACGTTACAAGCTCCGACTGGTGCTGGCGACTGGAACTTGTCCCCGTTAGTGACCAAGTATTGGCCCAGCCCGCCGCCGTGAGTTCCGCACGCGGGCCCACGCGACAGCAACACAGAGAACGACCATCGCGAGAAGCAGGCCGAGCCGAACTGCCAGCCATGGCATGGTTGCAGGCACTGGCACTGCAAACAGTCTTGCAATGATTACTGGCACGCCGAGCGGCCATGTCAGCATAACCGCCAGCGGGCTGTGCAAAAAGAGTTGAAAAAAGGCCTGATTCGACGGGTTGAGCCACAAGGATGCCCAGACGAATGTCATTGTGCAGAAGGCGTCGGCAGCCACGTTTAGGAACGCGCGCCACTTTGACCGCTGTGAGAGGAAGGACCGCTCGCGCAAAAGCGGCCAGATGCCTGCGATGACAATGACGCAGCTTAAAATGCACCATGCGAAGGCTTCGAGCAGGTTGTCGCACGAAAGCGATCCGGAGGCAGCATACTGACTGCCAAAGGCAACCATGAAGCTTTCCGGGGCGAGGTTGACGGCAAACACGGCGAGCCCGAGGACCGCCGCATACAAACGGTTGAATAGCCACACCAAGAAGCGATGCGAACCCGCGTTCCCGACTGTAGCCGATTCCTCCGCTAGAAGAGCCGCGATTGCCCCGCCCACCTCCTCGCGCTGCTCAACAGGTAAGAGAAGTTGCGCGAGGAGGTTATCGATGAAGGTGGTAAATGTGATTGCGAGCCCATCGAGCAGGAACATGGTGCAGGTGACGTCGTTGATGAGGATCGCGCAAGTTGCACAGATTAAGCAGAGCGGCAGCACCAACATCCGCATCCGGATGTGCACCCAGCCCAGGCAGCGCATCCACAGGGGAAGCTCTACTCTACGAGCACGCGTGCGGTGGCGGAGCAGCCGCTTCTCCAGTGCAGCCTCGTCCCAGTCCTCGGCGAGCGGAATAAGGATCAACATCACCACGAAGACGAGTACGAAGTAGTGCGTCGCGGCGAGGCGGCTCTGCCGTACGACGAGATGGTCACACCGCAGCGGCATGATGTCGGTGGCGTCGCAGTGGGCCGCAGCCTCTCGCGCCCACTGCTCGCCGCTCAAGTCCTCGGCGGCACTGTGACCGAACCAGCCGGCGCCAATGGCGAAGCTGTGCAGGCAGCGGAGCGGGCGAGAGGTCGGTGAGCTGGGAGAGGGGGGGGACTATCTAGCATGCAGCGTGTAGAGCCGCACCTCGAGTTGCTCCAGATGTCGACATATGGTCCAAGCACGTGACGCCGGCTGTCCAGCGCCATGATGATTCTTGATATGTTCTCCGCCGTCAGCTGCATATTGTAGCAGTCGAGGCATACGCCGGGCGCCTTCTCGTGCCGCCACGGCTGCCGCGTGATTGGCTCCCCAAAAATATAGAAATCCTTTGGGTGGCAATACTCTCCGACCGCGCAGTGATTGTGACTCGAGCAGCGTGGGTGCGCAGCCTCATAGGCGACCGCGTACATGATCGCCGACTGGCCACCCATGAGGAGGATGGACAGAATAAGCGGGATGGCCGCCGAGAGGGAGGCGCCTGGAGCGGTAGCCTTGACGAACGCCCACGCATGAATGCCGCCCAAGCCAACAGAGTCGTAGCGGGCGAGAGGCCGCTGGTGGATGTGTGCGTCGACCACGTTGGGTGCTGCCGAAGGCTGGCGCATGATCTCCTCTTCATCGGTGCTGGTGCTCGCGTCGACCTGGGCCTGGTACGGTGCCGTTTGCCCGCGCGACGTCAGTGAAAACCATGCCCACCGTGAAGGCAAAGCCGTAACCGTGAGCATCGATCAGCGGCGGCGACCTCAGCGGCGGCGACCGGTAGGGGGGCAGCAGAGACCAAGATGACGACGTAAAAAAAGAGAATTCTTCGCGCGCGTTCTTACAAGAACCGTGCAGGTGGGGACCCTGTCCTTCTCCCACCCCTCGTTTGGCGTGCGCATTTTATTTATTTATTTAGCACACTGGCACGACAAGGGCGCGGACTGGCGCGGACTGGCACACAAAAAAGAGAAAGCGCCTCGCAACAAGAACACAACGCACTCTCTCACATGACAAGCGATCCCACGACAGCGATTGTGGGGACTACATGATTACATGAAGGGTGGGGGGGGGCCGAGCGTCCGCAGAGCTAGGCGGCGCGGGCACCCCCCACTGGGGCCGTGCGACCGTCATGGCGCGGGAGGAGGACGGGGACGGACGGATCGTGCACGAGGTCGAGCACGACGGCTACCCGGATCGGCGGTGGTGGCACATGCTGGACGACGAGCGGTGGCGCGCCGTCCCAGAGCAGGCCGGCGCGGGCGCAGGCGGCGCTGCCGCAGACGGGGATGGGGATGCGGCGATGGACCGCACGGACGGCGAGCAGGGCGCCCGTGCCGCAGGCGACGCCGAGGCGGCCGAGGTGCAGCCGGCGCCGCCTCCTGTGCGCCGGGGTGTGCGGCGCAGCGCGCTGGCGGAAGCCCTCGAGGCGGAGGATGACGAGCGGCAGGAGGAGGCCGCGCGCGGCGATGGGCGGCCGATGCTAGCGCCCCACGGGCCGGCGCTGTCGGTGCAGCTTCGGCGCGTGCGCCTGCGGCTGCGCGAGTTCCTGGCGACGCAGGCCGCGGCGGGGAAGAGCGTGCCGATGCAGCGGACGGCCCTTGGTCTGCACCCGACGATGCGGTGGACGATCCGCTTCGGCAAGCGGCTGGCGACGATGCGAATCATCGCGCCGAGGGCGAGTCCGGTGACACGCGACCGAGCGGGGCGACGCGCGGGAGGAGGAGCCGACGGTGCGCTCGGGTCGCGGCGAGAACACGATCTACGTCGCGCTGCAGCACATGAAGAACCACGTGTGGCGCAAGATCTGGCCGGCGATGCCGGACGACGCGAGGCAGTACTGGCGGCTGGTGACCAACCAGGTGATGTCGCTGTACGACGGCGGCGGCGGCGGGATGAAGGAGGACGCGGCAGCCAGCGAGGAGCCGCCGGCCGGGCGGCGGGCCGCGAGGCGGCGCGGGTGAGCGCGTCGCACGGGCAGAGTGAGGCGGCGCAGCGGGCGGCGAGCGAGAGGGCGAGCGCCGAGGCGAGCCGGCGGACGATGGCCGAGCTGCGCGAGGCGACGACGAAGCCGTGCATATTGCGATACATTGCTGGATGCTGCGTATAGCCCAGGTACACCATGGTGCACAATATATCGCAATATACTCCAATAGACTCCAATATACTCTTGTTTCGCCCCGGGATTAGTTCCGGCATACATTGGCGTACATTGGAATATACTGGAGACGAACCAACAGGGGTCAGGGCGAATATATCGCAATATAAGCCAATATGTCCCAATGTTCACCATTATATCCGGACCGTACATTGAGAGAGAGAGAGAGAGAGAGAGAGAGAGAGAGAGAGAGAGAGAGAGAGAGAGAGAGAGAGAGAGAGAGAGAGAGAGAGAGAACAAAACCCCTTCTCCCTTTTCTCCCAGTAAGCAACAAGTACGTACATTGCGTGAAGAACAGCCAGCGAGGCTCGGACTGGACACCAACGCGGTATGGGTGGACGTTGGACAGATGATGACGACACGCACGAGCGACACACAGACACAAACAGGCTCACAAGACACACAGCCAGCGGGCTGCCACACACGGGAAGGCGAAACACAGTCCGACGAGACCGTGTGTAATATTGGCTATATTCCACATCTCAGCTGTGAACCTGTGTCCAGCACTCGAGTATTCTCTGTGGCTCGCCTCGTTGAGGCTCTCCTGTGCTTGGTGCAGTGAGCGGTAACCGGAGATGGACCTCGAGAGCTCGCAATTAGGATGGCAGCGCGTGGTGGAGCTCGCTTCCACCACGCCTCAGAGCGCTGAGGAGGGCTCACCACGCGCCGTGCAAAGGCGGTGGCTCGCCGAGTCCTTTGACAATGCACAGCAACGCCGGACTAGTGGAGAGGACTACGACGAGCCGGCGTTGGCACGGCAGGTTGACATCGCTGTCGGACGCACTGCTCGCTCGTTCCCACGAGCTGCATTTTGTGGCGCTTGCCTCGCACTAACTGCGCTCTGGGTGGCCATGCCAAACGACGGTCCCGATCCTTCCCTGCCACCGGCCGTCCCACTGGCGGGAGCAGACCTGGGCAAGGTGAACAAGACCGGGCAGCTGATCAAGGGCCAAACTGCCCGGACGAACAGGCTCGTCGAGATTACGTTCGACTTGGTCCCAGCAAGGCCGGGTCGCCGCGTGCTGCTCCAGGTCCCAGCAAGGCCAGTCCACTCCAACGTCACGTCGGAGGAGTTGACCACCGTCCTTCGGGCCGCCCTGCCGCCCGAGGTCGACCCGGCGGCGGTGCGGCTGCTTCGGAGAGGGAGCGGCTTTACGGTTTCCATCTCCTCGCGACAGGTCGAGATGGCCGACGTGCTGGCGGTTCTTCAATCCCAGTCCTTTGCGGACGAAATCCACTCACGATACATGCGGGTCGATAACATCCAGGTTGGCAGCGTCGCCTCCCTCCGCCTCGAGCCGCCCTCGGCACCCACGCCACCCCCTCCTCCCGAGTGGCTCGACGACCTCTGGAAATGGCTCGATGCGTTCCCGCCGCCGCCGCCGCCGCCGGCCCCTCTGCCGCCCTCGCCGCCGCCGCCGTCGCTGTCGCCCTCGCCGCCTCCCACGCCGCCGCCTCCGGCGCCGCCGCCACCAGCCCCTCCGCCTCCCTCGCCGCCGCCGCCGTCGCTGTCGCCCTCGCCGCCTCCCACGCCGCCGCCTCCGGCACCGCCGCCGCCTGCCCCTCCGCCGCCCTCGCCGCCGCCGCCGTCGCTGTCGCCCTCGCCGCCTCCCACGCCGCCGCCTCCGGCACCGCCGCCGCCTGCCCCTCCGCCGCCCTCGCCGCCGCCGCCGTCGCTGTCGCCCTCACAGCCTCCCACGCCGCCGCCTCCGGCACCGCCGCCGCCTGCCCCTCCGCCGCCCTCGCCGCCGCCGCCGTCGCTGTCGCCCTCACAGCCTCCCACGCCGCCGCCTCCGGCACCGCCGCCGCCTGCCCCTCCGCCGCCGCCGCCGCACCTGCCGCCGCCGCCGCCGCCGCCGTCGTTAGCACACTCCCTCGTCCACGAGGAACTGGTGCTGCCAGTGTCGCTGTTGAGCGTCGCTCTCTTGGCCGCTGCAGCCTACGTGCGGCGGCGCAAACGCCGCGCCACGCAAGGTGCGGAGCGGATGGTGCGCATTGAGTCTGCCAACGGCAACGTTACGTACTACGCGGGTGAGAAAGGCGCGGAGCGGAGGGTGCGCTCGATGTTTGCCGACGGCGTTGTGCAGTACTACGAGGGCGAGCAAGGTGCGGAGCGGATGGTGCGCATGGTGCTTCCCAGCGACAGCGTACAGTACTACGAGGGCGGGCGAGGTGCGGAGCGGATGGTGTAGGTGGGCGCGAGCGAGGACAAGGCGGCCGCCGAGAAGCGGTACAAGGCCATGCGGGTCGCAGAGGAGCGAGTGCCAGCGCTTCGGCTTGGCCACCACCGGCGTTAAAGCAGCGCGCGTGGCGCGCCTCCTGAGCCTGTACTCCTGTTGAACTCTCGCGCGCATATACGTTCGTGAATGCAATCGCTCGAGCGCGAGGCAGCGACTGTACCGTGACCCATGTACGTCACCGTAAGTGTTAGACACACGAAAGGGGAGTTTTCACTGTCCCTGCCTTTTCGCAACCCGGGCGGGGGCGCCCCCGGCTCCACGGTGCCCCATTGATAGCGGGTGGGGAGGCCCTAAAACGGCGGGAGGGGTAGGGCTATAGCCTGTAGCTGTCCCGTGACCCGACACCCGTGTCCGCGGTGCTCGACGGCGGTGCCAGCCTCGAGAAAGTGGCGGCGAGCCGCGCCTGCGCGCGTGCGGTGGTCCGTGGGGGGTCGGTGCGTCTGCGCCGGGCTCTCGTGGCACGTGGGCGGCTGGGAAGCGCAGCAGGCGTGTGTATTTGGTCCCGCTCTCGGGGCGGCTGGCGGGCGACTTTGAGCGAGCCGATGGCGATGCTCCGCGACGCGGTTTCGCGACGCGATGCGCTCAGAGCATATGCTGCGGGACCTCTGTGGCTGGACGCGTACCGGAGTGGCGAAGGACAGCGACGCGGGGCGGCGAAATGGGCCCTCCTCTGCCACTGTGGGCCGGGGGTCTGGAGTTTCGAGAGGTCTCTTGGGTCGAAAGCATATCCCGAATAGAGGGTTTTTGCAGGGATCTACACTTGCTTCTACACTTGGTTCTACACTTGAAAAAGTGTAGATAACGGTGAAGAGCCGGTGGACTCGACAGATAAGCACCGAAAGTGTAGGTCCGACTTACACTTAAAGGATGAAGGAACTGGCCTTCGCCGTCAAGATGAACTCCTCTCAAGCTGAGCCGCGGCATGCCGCCCCGCCTGCGGCGTGCGTGCCGCCCCGCATGCCGCGGCTAAACTTGAGAGGAGTTCATCTTGACGGCGGTCGCCGACGCTGCTCGAACGGCAGTTGTCGACCGCCGGCAGTTGACCGGCAAGATGAAGTCCACTGCGCTCGCAAAAAATACCATCGGAACCGTCTCGCCAAGGCGCACAATAGTCCTTAGTCTGGCAAAGGCCAGTTTCTTCATCCCGGGCCGCCATGAAATAAATGGCGACTGGCAGAGGCTTGTCAAAGCAACCGGATTTCACCAAAATCCAGGGCAAAGTGCGGGAGGAAGTGTCGAGAGCAAAAGTGTCAGTAGGAGCAGGTGTGACGCCGCGCGAGCGACGCTCCGAGATCGCCCGAGATAGCGCGGCGCGGCCCCGAGATCGCGCGAGATAGCGCGAGATCGCCCGAGATCGCGCGGCGCGGCCCGGGGCGGGGTGGATGGGTTGGGAGCGAGGGGGCGGAAGTGACCAGTGCGGTAGATCGGTCAGCTCGAGGCGCGTGAGCCGGACTTGGGAGCCGGACCACCCCCTCTTGTTATCTGCGTTGTTGAGCCAGGACTGTCGCCGTCCCAAACTGTCACTCCCCTTTCTCCCGGCCGGGGTGGGGCGCGCGCGGGGGCGGCGAGTGTGCGGCGAGTGTGCGGGATGTCTGTGGGCCCGAGAGCGATATGCCATGTCCGCCTAGCTTGCGTTGTTTCATAACACCGAAGGCTAAAGCTCAAAGTGTAAGTGTGTACACTGGGGTGCGAGTTAATGCGCGGTTGGGGGGGTCTGAAAAGGGGAGCTCCCTCTCTCCCCACCCCGAGGACCTCTGCCCAAGCTGATGGTGCCCAGCCCAGAGGGCCTCAGGGGCTGTAGAGTCACACCTAGGAGAGGGGGTAGCTCACACCTTGTGGGCCGCACTGACCCTTCTCCCACGTGCCCTTGCCCGCCCCTCTGACCGCCGCCCGAGAGGCCCGACTTTAAGGGGCTGGTGAGAGCCCCCACCGTTGCGCCCTCACCTCACGCTGACATATCCTTTGGGAATGCCCATGGACTCTAGGGACCTGGGGGCAGCTTTGCCCGCGGGTGCCACATGCTAGGCTATGGTAGCCATTCTCCCAGATTCTCCGGAGAGGCCGCAAAAGCGGCCAAGGTGGCCTCCGCTCAAGGGTCGTTGGGATTTTCTGGTGACTCAGGAAGGAGGGGTCTGCGCCAAATAAAAATCGGTTCCGTACTGTCCGCCCCCGGCTACGCATGACACAATTTATTAGAAGTTGGGGCTTCATCTTCCGCCCGAGATAAAAATCCCTCTTGTCTCTCAGCCCGCTTGCCCATAGCCGCCGAGACGGCGCGCTCTGCTGACTCTCATCTAGCACCCTCTTGGGGCCTCTCCTGACCGCTGTGGGCCTCTCCAGACCTCCTCTTGCCTATGGGAGTACCCCTCTCAGTCTACTTCCTAGGACACAGGCACAGGTTTGCATAATGCGAGCTTTTTCTCAAGGGCTATAGTGCAGAGAAGAAATGCGCATGAACTCGCACCGGGGTGTAAGTGTGGAACGCAACCACCAGCTCGACGCTCTACACTACAAGTGACGGCTGCAAAGGCCCCCCAACATCACATGCCCGAACAATATGTCGCGCCGCCTCTCGCGTAGTCGATTGCCGGTGCACCCAGCCGTCCCGTTGGTGGCCTTTGGTGCGGGCGTGCTGCTCGCCTCCGACCCTGAGCAACCTGCGCGGTTCACGGCCTACGCTGCGTCGGCAAGGCGAGCCGTCAGGCTCGCTGGCGCCTGCTCGCTGGTCGCTTTCGACTACTCGCGTGCGAAGCGCTCGCTCATAGCCGCGGAGAAGGCCGAGTTTTTGGACGGCGACGCGGCTCACTGGGAGCTGCAGGTAGCTTCAGGCAAGGCCGAGCGGCTGAGGGCGGACGCTGTGAGGCGCGGCGAGCCGAGCGCAGTGCTCGAGGAGGAGGCGCGGCGCACGCGCGAGGAGGCGGCAGCGTACGGAGAGGCGCTCGCCGGGCGCAGACTCGAGGCCGGCCAGCGGAGTGGCCGCGCCGCAGCGTGGGATGAGGTCCACGAGCGCAACGCGGCCCGCCTGCTCGCGCTGTGCATCGCCAACGGCGGCGTGTACGTCAAGCTCGGGCAGCACGCGGCGCAGCTCGACTACCTGCTGCCGCCGCAGTACACGCGCACGCTGCACCAGCTCTTCGAGCACAACCGCGCCTCGTCGTACGAGGACGTGTCGCGCGTGATTGAGGAGGAGCTGGGCGCGCCGCCCGAGGCGCTGTTCGGGAGCTTCGAGCGCGCGCCGATCGCGTCGGCGAGCCTCGCTCAGGTGCACCGCGCGACGGAGCACGGCACGGGCGCGCCGCTCGCCGTCAAGGTGCAGCACGCCGGGCTGCGCGAGGAGTGCGCCTCCGACCTGCAGGCGGTGGGCCTCGCCGTCGCCGCCGCCGAGTGGCTCTACCCGGACGACTTCCGGCTCGGCTGGGTGATGGGCGAGATGGCGCCACACCTGCCGCTAGAGCTCGACTTTACGCACGAGGCCGCCAACCTGCGCCGCTGCGCCGCCTTCTTTGGCGCGTGCGGCGACGCGGGCGGCGGCGGCGCGTCGGGTAGCGGTGGCGGTGTCGTGAGCAGCAGTGGCGCGCGCGGTGGCGGTGGCGGCGGGGGTGGCGGCGGGGGTGGCGGTGGCGGCGGGGGAGGCGGCGCGCTGGCGGGCGCCGTCGAGACGCCGGCGGTCGTTGGTGCGCTCACGTCGGCGCGCGTGCTGACGATGACGTACGAGGAGGGCGTCAGCGTCACGGACGTGGCGGGGCTGCGGCGGCTCGGCCTCGATCCCAACGAGGTGTCGCGGCTGCTGTGCGAGGCGTTCAACGCCATGATCTTCGACGGCGGCTTCGTGCACTGCGACCCGCACCCGGGCAACGTCCTCGTGCGCCGCCGCCGCCGTGGCCATTGCTCTCCACACGGTGCTGGTGGTGGTGCTGCTGGTGGTGGTGGCGGCGGCGGCGGTGGCGGCGGTGGTGATGGCGGCGGCGGCGGTGGTGGTGATGGCGGTGGTGGCGGTGGTGGTGGCGAGGCGCAGCTCGTCCTGCTCGACCACGGCTCGTGCCTCCCCGTACCTTTCCACATCTCCCCGTATCTCCCTATATCTCAGGTGCAGCTCGTCCTGCTCGACCACGGCCTGTACCGGGACCTCCCGCGCGCGTTCGCGCTGACCTACTCGCGGCTGTGGCACGGCGTCGTTCTCGGCGACGCCGACGCGATCCGCGAGGCGGCCGAGGAGATGGGCGTGGGGCAGTACTACCCGCTGCTCGCGGCGATGCTGACGGCGCGGCCGTGGACGGACATCCTGCGCGCGGGCGACACGGGCGACGCGCGCGCGCTGCACGAGAAGGGCACCGCCGCCGACAAGAAGCAGATCGCCGGCTACGCCGCGCAGTACGCCAAGCACATCGGGCTCGTGCTAGACCTGGTGCCGCGGCCGCTGCTGCTGCTCTTCAAGACCAACGACTGCCTGCGCCACGCCGAGCGGCAGCTCGGCGCCGCCGGCGTCGGCTCCTTCTCCATCACGCTGCGCTACTGCCTCTGCTGCTTGCGGCACGAGGCACGCGCCGCCGCCGCCGCCGCCTCGGCCGCCTCCACGGCCACCACCGCCGCCACCTCCACCGGCAGCGCCGGCAGCACGGCCGGCGTCGCGGCACGGCGGTGGCTCGGCATAGCGCGTGCGTGGCTCGCGGTGCTGCGGCTCGACGTGGCGATGCTGCTGTTGCGCGTGCTCTCGGGGAGTGCGGTGCTGCCGCGCGCCGTCAGGGCGCTCTCGCTGTCGCCCGCCTCCGCCAAGCGGCAAGGTGAGAGGGAGAAAGCAAGCACGAGTGCGGTCAGTGTCGAGCACACCTGAACTCAGAGTTAGAGGCGCGCAGAAGGGTGCCTTTTTGAAAAAACCAAGAAGAAAAAATAAAATATCTTTAGTTCCAAAACCCGGACGTGCCTCCACCTACACTCTCAGGTTGCACCAACCAAACACAAGTCACAAGAAGGGCACTTAGAGAGACAACACATAACTGAGCGCATCTCTCTCTCTGTTGTGCGAGGCGTGAACCGCGCCATTCGCTCCCACCTGGCAACTCTGTCTGCACGTCTCGCGCGCGCGTGAACAGGGCTCCAGGCCCCAAATGACGTGTGAGTGTTAGAGTTGTTTGGTATTGCTAAAAATCTCTCTCTCTTGATTGATTGATTGATTGATTGATGGGAAGGCGAAACACAGTCCGACCAACGACTGGGACACCAACGCGGTATGGGTGGACGCTAGACGGGCGATGACGGTCACACAGGAGCGACACACAGAACCACAAGACAAGACACTCAGCCGAACTGACTGCCACACATCCTGAGCGAACTTCCCTAGTCACCCGCGGCCGGACTCCATCCGGCACGCGTCGCTGGGCGCTCAGAGCTGCGTCCCCTGCTCGCCACCCCGACGCCCAGGGCGCCCGAGCGAACGACAGGCGGCACGCGAAGACTGGTTGACATCCCGCCGACCGCCAGGCCGCGGGATGATGAGTGCGTGGTCTTGTAGTGGGTCTCGGACTCAACAAACAACAGACGACAGGAAGTAACATGTGAGACTAGAGCACACCGCTCCGCCTCTAGCAATCTCGCCGGCCGGCGAGGCACGGACGAGACCGTGTGTGGGGTCTTGTGAGGTGTCTATGGACGCCCTCCTCAGCTAGCTGCCTACTGGAAAAAAGAAAAGCGCGCCGTCGGAGAACCCTTGCGTGGCTCCCACCTCTCCGATTCGCCTGTGTCTTTTGCACCGATCTCGCACGCAGGGACAAATGTTCAAGGTGCAGCACTACGAGGGCGAGCGAGGTGCGGAGCGGATGGTGCGCATGGAGTCTGCCAACGGCAACGTGCATTACTACGAGGGCGAGCAAGGTGCGGAGCGGATGGTGCGCATGGCGACTGCCGATGGCAGCATGCAGCACTACGAGGGCGAGCGAGGTGCAGAGCGGAAGGTGCGGACGGAGATGCCCGACGGCAGCGTGGCGTACAACGCTTTCTTCGGCGCCAAGTGGTTCGGCGCAACGCAGAGGGGGGCGGCCAAGAAGGAGCAGGCCGAGGCGAAGGCGGCGGAGGAGAAGGAGGCGAAAGAGAACGCGGAGCCGCAGAAGGCGGCTGCCGAGAAGGCGATCGCCGATAAGGCGGCGGCTGCCAAGGCCAAGGAAAACGCGGAGAAGGCGTCGCGCGAGGCCGCCGAGGCCAAGGCGGTCGCGAAGAGCGTCGCCAAGAAGCCCGTCTCCCGCTCCACGAAGATGGTCGGCCAGCTCGTGCTGCTGGTTGGCCTCGCCGTCGCCGCGTTCGGCCTCGGCCTGGGCGACCTCCTCAGCGCGCCACCGCCGCCACCCGCGGCCAAGGCTGACTTCGAGCCGCTCACCGCGGCGACCGGCCTGGTCAAGCGCGTGGGCACCGACCGCAAGATTCAGACGATGATCGCCGCCACCGCCGCCACCGCGCTGCTGCGCCCCGCCGTGTCGGCCGTCGCCGCCGTGCCCGCCGTTGGCGGTGCCGTGGGCGGCGCGGCGGGCGCCGCGGCGGCCAACCTGGCAGCTCCTCTCTTCGTGGGCGCCGCGACGGCGGTGAAGGTGAGGGCCGTGGCCGTCGCTGCGGGCGCCGCGGGCGCCGCGGCGACCTTTGGCGCCAGCACGGCGGCGACCTTTGGCGCCAAGTGGCTTGCGGGCGGCGCGGCAGAGCGCGCAGCGGCGGCGGCGGCGGCCAAGGCCGCGACGGGCGCGGCGACGGGCGGCGCGATTGGCGGCGTGGCGGGCTACGTCGCGCTCCTTATGTCCAAGCCTGCGCTGGCGGTGGGCGCCGCGGCGGCCAACCTGGCAGCTCCGCTCTTCGCGGGCGCCGCGACGGCGGTGAAGGCGGCGGCGGCCACCAAGACGGCCGCCGGCGCGGCGGCGGGCGTCGTCGGCACGGGCGCCGCCGTGGGCGCGCAGCAGCTCGCGGCCGGCGCGCTCGGCCTGTTCGCGAGCGCCGCGACGGCGGTGAAGGCGGTGGCGGCCACCAAGACTGCCGCCGGCGCGGCGGCGGGCGTCGTCGGCACGGGCGCGGCCGCGGGCGCGCAGCAGCTCGCGGCCGGCGCGCTCGGCCGCGGCGCGGCGGCGCAGGCGGCAAAGGTGGCGGCGGGCGCGGCGGTGGCCGGCGCGGCCCTCACCGCCCCGCCCGTGGCCGTCGCTGCGGGCGCCGTTGGCGCCGCGAGCGCGGTGGCGGGTCGCACGGCGGCGACCTTTGGCGCCAAGTGGCTCGCGGGGGGCGCGGCAGAGCGCGCAGCGGCGGCGGCGGCGGCCAAGGTGGCGGCGAAGGCCGCGACGGGCGGCGCGATCGGCGGCGCGGTGGGCTACGTCGCGCTCCTTCTGTCCAAGCCCGTCGCGTGGGTGGCAGGACTCTTCTAGGCGGCGGCAAACTGAGCGCACCAGATGCTGTGGAGTATGCCAACGGCCTCCGCGAACCTTGCACCGGAGGGTTCTCTAAGGACGAGGGCGGGGGCAGAGAGGAGATGTCGTGCACGGCCTCGCCGGAACACATGAGGTGCTTGCACAGGAGGTCTACGGTGTAGGGGTACAACGGCTGCTTCATTCTGATGTCTCCTCATGCCATGTCTCCCCATGTCTCCCCATGTCTCCCCATGTCTCCCCATGTCTCCCCATGTCTCCCCCCATGTCTCCCCATGTCTCCCAGTCTTCTGGCAGGAAGAACGGATAATACCTCAGGCGCTACGTTTTTTCGGGACACTGTGTGCTTGTATATGTAGCATGCAGATTGCACTTTGCAGTGAGCACTGCACGCGGACTCTCTCTCAAATGCTAATGTACAGGTATGCAGAATTCTACGAAGCCCCCGTGCCCGTCGCACTCTCAGCATGCCCCGACGGCGCAGGTCTCGAGACAGCACGGCCACCTTTTGGGCGCCATGATGGACTCGTCGACGACAAACTCCTTCCCGAGAAACACGCTGTCGAGGAATGCGATCACTGGGCGGTGCGGTTCGCCAAAGGCCTCGGCGGCCAACGCGGTGTGCTGGGACACCCCGAGGACTCGGTTACCGAGGCAAGGGAGCGTGAACGGATACCACCAGGAGGTGGCCTTGGTCAGTGGCATGGATAGATCGAGCGCAGAGTCCTTGAGCGTCACTAGACGTGCGCCGCCCCCTGCGAGCTCCGACATCGTGTATGTGGCTGCTTTCATGATGTCGCCCTCGGAGGTCACCCAGAGGGATGGGACGGAGAGAGCCTTGACGCGGCGGCGGTTCAAAGGGTGCCAGGTCCGCGTGGTGATCGAAAAGTACGTCGGCAGCGCGGGGCTCACAAAGACACACGCCTGAAACTCACCCGGCGCGGCCATTCCGGTGAAATTGACCGCCTCCACGCCGCCCATTGAGTGACCCATCACAGCAACCTTGCGGAGATCGCCGCGCGCGAGGGGGGACGAGCCCTTTGCAGCCTCCTCCTCGACCCACGCGTGGGCCGCCAGGAGATGCTTGCCGTCTGTGATCCGCGAGCCGGGAGCCGTGCAAAAGCAGCAAAGGGCGCACGTGGTGCCGCAGCAGCCATACGATACGGAGTTTGCGCGCTCGGGCATGACCACGAGGTACCCGGCGTTCGCGATCCGCTGTGCCATGAACGCATGGCCCGCTGCGTCCACCTGGTGCCCGTGCTGGAACAAGACAACTGGCAGGCCGGAGCCTTCCCTCGGCGCAAATACTGCAAACCGGAGGTCCTTGCCAGGCACGGCCTCGTACAATGCGGGTTTGGGTTCGCAACCGCGCTCAATGTTCAGATTCTCGGGCGTTGCGAGGTCGATGTGAGTGGACTCCATGCGCGGAAGGCTGCGCGGATAGCCGGTGAGCGGTGTATTTCACCACGGACTGGATGACAGGGATGGACGATTGCGCGGAAATCCCGTTCCTGAAAAAAATAGCCTTGCCTTGGGTTCTCTGTTTTCTTTCTTTCTTTCCTCCAAGAGCGATTCATTTTCCGCGTAAGGATCATCTAGCCGGCCCCGCCGATGAGCAATGTCACCAGTCACCACCATGGAGCATGGTCACCACCCACTGGTTGGGTAGTAGTCTAAGTTCTGAGCCTGGAGGCCTAACGGGTCTAAGTGTGGCTAGCCACGCTGGAGTGCTTGCGCGGTCTAAGATCAGCGGGAGCCTCTTACATCGGCTAAGTCGGCCGTGGACGGCCTGGGGCCAAGAGGCTCCCACCGTGATCAACGTACAACGATACGGCGCAGCCCCCAAATTTTCTTCGCCTGCGGCGGGCGATCGATCCTTCTCATGCTCAGCAATCGCCGCCTCAGCATCCTCCTCTTCCGATTCTCGTTGCTGCTTCTTGAGCGCAATCTTCGGCGACTTCTCGCCAAACAGTTCTCACAAATAGCCTCAAGCTCAAACAAACGCGTGTCAGAGAAGCCTGTGTATACTTGTCCTCTTTGAACGATCCGCGCGTGAGGTAGCATAGGGCCTTGTTGGCAGCAGCCAGCTTGTTGCGCTGCTTCGTTGCGATGAGCTGATTGGGATCGCAGAAATGCATGCCAAGCACCGCCACGATCTTGAAGCAGAACACATCGCAACCGCATCGTCCGCACTGCCATCGGCATGCCGCGCCCGCCGCTTCGCCGCAGCCGCCTTAGGCACGCATAGCGGCAGCATATGGTACGTTGCGCGTACTTGAGCAGGCGTTGCGCGCCGCAAGTAGCGCACTGGCCCTGGGAGAAGGCGATATGGCGTCGTGCGCGGCAAACGTTGGTCGGGACGCGTCCAGGTATTTTTCGGGTAAACCTGAAAGCTTTTCAGGTATTTGTAAAATGAACTTTTCAGGTATACCCGGGTTTTACCCGGAGTTGGCCTTATGTCGTCTAAGTTCATGGCCCCCGACCATGAGGGTCTAAGTCTGAGCCCGGCTCCGTGCGGGGGCTAAGTTGAGCGCTCGCTCGCTGCAGAGGCTAAGTGTAGAGCGACCCTCTAGCCCTACTACCCAACCATTCACCACCCCTCCTCCTCCCACTCCTCCTCCTCCTCCGCCCCACGCCCCCGCTTGCGCGGCGCGAGGTGCGCCAAGTACGGGTTGTACCGCTCCTCCGCGGGCGCCGACGGCTCGTCCCCGTCCTCGGCCGGCGGGCGCCGCCCTCCGCCGCCGCCGCCGCCGCCGCCTCGGCCGCGGCTGCGGTGGCGGCAGAGTCGAGGTAGAGCTCAACGCCCTCCGCCTGCGCGGAGGAGGGCACCAGGGAAGGGCGCTGCTCTTCCCCTCCCTAACTGACTGAACTAGCTGGGCTGGCCCGGGTCGTGGGCGTGTCGTGGGCGTGGCGTGGACGTGTCGTGGACGTGTCACTGGTCCGCCCAGAGCAGCCACGTCGAGCACCGCCACGACGTCGCACCGCACGTCGCTCCCGCCCGCCATCCGCCACTTGCCCTCCTACTCTTGGGTTCGGGTACTGGGTAGGTATGGGATGCATATCGCTCCCGCCCGCCACCCGCCACTTGCCCTCCTTGCACGGCGCGTGGGTCGCGAGGCGCACCTACTGCCGTTTTCTTTTTTTGAGCGCAGCGTTTTCTTTTTTAGGCGAGGCGCACCTACAGCCGCACCGCGCGCCTCGGGAGGCTCTCGGAAGTGTCTCGGCAGGTTCTAGGCAGTGTCTCGGCAGGTTCTAGGCAGTGTCTTGGCAGGTTCTAGGCAGTGTCTCGGCAAGTTCTCGGCAGTGTCTCGGCAGGTTCTCGGCAGTGTCTCGGCAGGCTCTCGGCAGTGTCTCGGCAGGTTCTCGGCAGTGTCTCGGCAGGCTCTCGGCAGTGTCTCGGAAGTGTCTCTGCACCGGGCCGGCCGTCGCCCCCCCAACGCCCTTTGCTCGCAGCGCGTTCCACTCCCCGAAGCGCGCGCCGTGGAAGAGGGCGGCCTGTCTGCGGAGCGAGCAGGCGGCGCTGAGGCCGCAAAGGGGGGGGGGGGGGGGGGCATTAATTAGAAGGGCCGAGAGGTGGCATTCTCGAGCATCTAGGCCGCCCTTGCCCCTTCCTCGCCAGCGAGGCGTACCCCACCGGCTCGAGCTCTAGGGTCGGATCGACGCGGCAGATCGAGGCGTGGCCTCCGCGCGCACGCACGAGCTGCCGCCGCCCTCGCCTAGCCAAGAAAACGCGGCGATCAAAAAAGAAAACGGACCCGGCCACGAGCCGCGCGCCGCCCTCGCCTAAAACGAAAACGCGGCGATCAAAAAAGAAAACGGACCCGGCCACGAGCTCCTCGAGCCCCTCCGGCTGTCGCGCCGAGCGCGCCTGCAACGAAAACTTGCGGGCGTGAGAGAGAGAGAGTTTTGTGGGACGAGCGGCGCGGGCTTCTGCTGCTCAATGAGGCCTGAACAAGAAGGTCTGCGATCCCAAGAGAGGTGGGACGAGCGGCTCGGGCCTCTGCTGCTTCGGAGGCCAGGAGTGGTGCAGGACGCGAGCGCGGCGCAAGCAGAGTGAAGC